TAAGGCATGTGCTTCAGATTGAGGTCTGACGGACAGTCAGGCCAAAGTTAATATCGTTTATCCCACGCCACCAGTTACAACTTACGGTCAGTCCATTGGGAATCCAAGTGGCCAAAACAGACGTGAGTATTCTGCTGATGGGAGCATGCCTAATCATATCACTGACGGTTTTAACACTCCAATGTTTCATCGAATTTATTGTATCGATTCCGCATTTACATATCGATATAACCATATCTATCTAAGTACTACGGTAAATCTCGAGTGAAAAAGTGCACAACGAAGACAAAAATTTAATGCGTATCAACTGTGTCAGAACTATCGTACCCGGCGAAAACTGAAGAACCCATCCAGCAAGGTATTTCGATCGTACGCAACTGGAGCAGAAATTACGGATGGTAAAAACTGCATCCAACTCGTTTCAGTACTGCCACTACCGGAAACGGATAAGCGGAGTCAAAATCCAATCAAGATACATGATTCGGGTTTGTGCTTGACCATAAAATCAGACAGTCTTGACTTGTATGTACGTCCTTAGAGAGGTAACTACAGAGTACTAATCAAAGATTTTTTAAATTTATCCCATCGACTTAGTAAGCAAAATTGAATAACCCACTGTTGGCCCTGTCTGTAGCTATATATGAATCTCAAGGGAATCAGAACAGAGAAGAGACGAGACAAAAATATAGGAATTAGAATATCATGATGCACTGGAATTATCATAGCACGACGATAACCAGCTCAACGTTGAAAACTGTAACGAGCCTTTTGAAACAACCAAACGACAATTCACTTCTTCAGTTCTGTGCAGATCACCAATTAACCCGGTTTAGTATCGAATTCTAACACAGCAACGTGACGGTCCAGGTTAACAAGCAAGCCGACTCAGATGAACCACACAGCAGCAGATCGCCCTTGATGCAGCTCACAACAAAATTATAAGTTCTACTAGACCACCTGCGTTGAATTTGATTACGTATTGGTTTTGATGCATTCGGCGCTTCAACCGACTGGTTGCGGACAAAACCCACAAACTCGATTAGCCCATTATTATCTGTGATCTAGCCGTTATGGGGGCGACTGCAGACATCATCATTGTACAGCGAAATACGGTGAAGCGAACTTCACTGTACGTTGTCTCAGGCATGAGTTAGAAGCTGGATACTGTGATGGAATCCATGAACAATAGGATCATATTAAACGCGAAACGTATTCTGAAGACAACACAGTGTATTTATTCGATCCTGAAGCCAATCATNGGCCCGATAGAGAGAAAGCGGAAAATGTGGACTGACCAACAGTAAGTCAGAGGTAGGTGGTATCTGCAATATCGGCCGACGAGAATCCTCAATGGGAACTGTGAACAATGTTGAGTCAAAACTGCCAGTGAAATGGAACTAGCCGTTATTTTAAGGAATGATCAAATACTATTCCAAATGGTAAAACAACAGGATCCTAGTGGATCACACTTTATGTAATATTTTTTTGATCGAAATCAGACGGTTGTCTACAGTATCGGCTCGATTGCTAGGGGGAATATTTCAACAATCAATTCAGCTGTTCTCCCATAAACCAGACTGTCTCGTCTACTAGGGCTTAAGCTCCATGGGCAGTCAGCCTCTACGAGACGGTTACCCGCTTCGCATTAATGTGCACTAAAACGTAAAACAACCCCATTTCAACCAAGTGTCTTACCTTTCCCGCTTTGCAATTAATCGCGACAATATTCTTCGGATTCTGACTGAGGAAATGTTGGACATCTTCGCACAGAGCGATCATCTGTTCAAACTGTGGAGCATTGTGGTCGTGGAATGGATATTTCGCCACTGGACCAGAAAAGCGACATACATCAAAATCTCGTTCATCACAACTGTGTATGTAAATGGAGTGGGAGAGCAGCGTCGGCAGCGACAGGATGCCGAATCGGAGAATAAGAGGATGGGGTACATAAAAAAATAATGAATGTTTTTTTAATATATATCAGGATGGATGTAATTATACATCGTCATGATAAAATTTGATGCAATGATAAATGAGGCTCAATGAATCATGGGAATACTACGTTATCATCAAATAGAGAACCAGTGAGATTCGTTGACGCTAACCGAGGCGCTCAAGGATGGCAGCTAGTTTTCACTACAGAACAGTATTCCGCCCAATGCTCTTTGTCGTTCAAGGTCGACTGATACAAACTATCTGCTCAATGTTTCTCGGTTCACGAGTTTAACCAACCGCACAATCACAATCCTGGATGCCCAAATGCCCATTTGTTTTTTATGGCTTCTGATTGGTCACTACCCCCAGTTGAATACTGATTGCACAAGCCTTGCAAATGAGAGAAGAAGAAGTGAAAACACTATCGTTATTATTGATATACTTATTTAGTTGTTGAATTTACCTAGAAACGGTCTTCTAAAAAGCAATACTGGGGATTTTTTCTATTAACATCACGGGGAACGACCTAGAGAAGCTCAGAGCCGGAGTGCCATAACTGAAAAGAGACCCAAGGACTAGAACAAGATTAACGGGATGACGAATCAAAGGAATGAATTCAAATTGTCACACAAAGTGCTAGTACGCGGGCACATAAATGTGTTGGGGCTCGTTTAATTATCTCATTTCAAACATCCACCATCGGTGACAACAGCGGCAAAACTGCTTCATTTATATCCAAGACGATTTCGCTGCATTCCGGACACTAATCCTGCAAATATTCCCATGTGACCTTTCGTTTCGAACTTGGAGCTAGCTGCTCTGCAACTGATTTTCAGAGAGAGAAGTAAACTTATCGTGAGTTATAGAGTAGGAGAAATCGATGCTCATGTGTTGAGAAATGAAACGTACAGATGAGCCAGAGGCCTACCGTAACTACGAGGCACCAGCGTATAGAAAAAATCCTGAGCATACACGTACAACCAAAGTAGATTTGGAGAAGGAACAGTATTCCACGTCGAATCTAAAGCCTTGAAGGAAAACAGTATTCTTCTACAACAATCCGGCTTCTCCTAGAGATTATGTTCAAAATGTGTGTCGAGAGTCCGCAGCGGAACTACCCTTATATACCATACGAACTTAGATGGTTTGAGGTATTTTATTACACATACTGTGTGGAATTAACGCTAAACGGACCGGACCTCATAGCCGCGAATACTTGCTGTTCATTGGTGGAAACCGGCAACCTGAGCTCTAGGACTTGGCGTAGCGAATCACATAAGGCCCGGCTAGGTTAGACCTGGTGCTGAATTGGACGACAGCAAAACTGCCTTCCACCAAAGTTGGGTGGCGGTGACGGGGTTCGAACCTCGAACCACATACCAGTAATGGCGACTAGACCAGAGCATCACCACCAGCACCCTAACTGAGCATGAGACCAGGGAAACCCACTAAATAAAAACCGGGAAGACGGGAGATGAACAAATCGGTTAGTTCGAACTCATGAGCCAAAAACCCGGCAAAAAACCATTTTTAGCCTAGAAATCTAAGTAAAACGACCCATACATCTTGAGATAAAATGATGAGAGAGTCCTGCTGCCAAAACCATTCAATGGTCGGTGAATGAGCAAGTATAAGCAAGACAATGATCTAAAAATAGACGCAGTACTATGCGTTTTTGGTTTCTATGAATAGCATAATACTTTGTGGGGGTTAGATTTTACAGGTTTTATCACTCTTCATTATCAAAGTTAACCCATGGAACTTTCGTACGAAGTCCCTTCAGTCGAACTCTGAGACACTACAGAAATCCTGGTGAGTATAAAACTTTTTTCGCAGAGTAAATGACGGTTAAATGTGTGTCGTTATGATGACGCACTTAACAAATAATTAGATTCGTTCGCACCAATGTGAATTTTAGTCCAAGATTCGGCAGTCACGTGGAACCGCCAACTCAGTGTGTGTCTATTTGAACTAAAAAAAGTATCACGGTTCGAATTATAGGAAACCAAGGAAGAAGAGGTGCGGTGGAAAATTCTTCAGCACCGCCAGCAATTATGTGGGGTTTGTGTACACTCACGCCAAACCCAAGGAGAATCGGATGGAATAAAAGGTTTTCAAACCATTGTATTTGGTAAAGCAGTCGTACAAACAAAATATAAAGCACTAAAAATTGGTCCAGGGGGAGGCAGGTCAACGAAGTCGTCATTTATTTGATAAAGAGTACTAAGGCATTGTAAATTGCTAAATGTTACACACTATACAGAACAAACTCTCTAACCATTGTATATCGGGTTTTAGTGCATGACCTATGTTATTTTCATTAGTGAGTCAAGGTTATCAAGGTGCTATATTCAACCCGAGCACCGCTTCTGCACACAGTACAGCACTGAACCTATAATAAATATAAATCTTACGTTGTTTATTACCTTAGATTTAAAGAATCTTTATCGGTTATTCCATGTTTACAGTGTTTCTCTGAATAAGAAAGGCGTATGCCCTGAAAATGATAAGGTTTCGTGTCTAGAGTTTCATGACTGTTGAAAAACAAAACCCGCGGAAAGACAAGGAAACCTTTCCATAGAGAAAGCCTCTTCAACTTCAAGTTGATTAGCCGCGTGTTTCATAAGAAATATCTCCCTTAACGGTACCCCTCTTTGAACGACTAAGTGACACCAATGAACACTGATAATTCGCATCAGCATACAGAACCCGCTCTCAGATCAGAAGAACTTCCGCTTTACAACTTTATTGATTGATCTAATGAGTAGTGCAAAGTTAGCAAAGAAAAACGACACGTGAGAGCCCAAGGTGATGGATTGGAAAAAACAAAATCTATATCACTTTACCACTGAATTACAGTGATATGATTACGAGGTGCAGAAATTGAAATAAAACTTTTCGACCGGTGTGTTTCCGAGAGCACAAAAGACGACTGCTCGACATCAAAACACTTAAATGCGTCGGCCATCACGACGAGACTGTACCTTGACGTGGTGTGATGGCTTGCGTGCCTCCATGACCCTACGAGCTATACCGGATGGCTCCTAACAGCCGCAAATCCAATCATGCCTGGAAGGTCAACGGGTAGAGGCCAGACGAATCTCGGTCTCACAAGGCCAGCTGCTAGGGCACCTCCTGGCCTCCATCTATCCACACCCGCCCCTGGAGAGGCCACTCCAGCAAATAAACACGATGAGGGACAGCTTACCGGTCAAAAAACTCCGCTAAATGGACGTAGGAGCGGAGTACCTGCGGCTTCCTCTCGACGATGGGAGAAGTCTTCGCACTTCATTGGACAGCTACCGTCCGCCCAAGCTGGGCAGCCCCCAGTCAATAAGGTGCTCACCCGTCCACGTTACGCTTGTCTCGTTGGGCGCATGAGGCTAAGGGCCGATCCCGAAAAGCAGACCGATAATCGACGCACCAGCGAACAAAACAACTAATCGAAATTCAAAGTCTTTGTGTGACAGGTCTCCAGAAGCTCACACATGGGTGCTTCGTTCACGCTCCCGCGTTCGATCTACGCCCCACTGCGTTGTGGGTCAGACTCTTGAGTCAAAGGCTCCGGTTAGGGTTTCCAAAGAAAAAACCTTCGTCGGTGTGGGCTCCCGCGAAGTATGTCGTGCCCTAAAGTCTTAGGCGCCCATTAGGAAAACCCTCCTTCCCATCTGTTTAGTTCTTTCTCTCAATCCCGAATAATCCCAAACGCCTGCTGTTCACAAGACCCATCAAATCTCACTCAGCGTTTTACCAACAAGACCAAACATTCAGAAGTTACAGGATTTTTGAAGCCGAAATTCCCTTTTCACTTAGCCGCGTTCAATGTCCGCACACTCTATCAGACCGGTCAACAAGCTGCTGGGCTAGAACCCTTGAAACTTTACTCCCTGGTGGCAGACTGCCTGATCTAGAGTATGCAAACGACAGTGTGCTACTAAATGAAGATCTAAGTAAGTTGCAAGCTTTTCTGGATAGTTTGAGTGCTAGTGTAGCGATGTTCGGCATGCGCTTCGCACCTCCAAAGTGTAAAATGCTACTCCAAGATTGAGTTGGCCCAGTCCCCAGCCTCACCTTGACCGGGGAAATTGTAGGGAAAGTAGACAAGTTTTACTACCTGGGCAGCTATATCTCACCCAGCGGACGCATCACATATGAAATGTCGGCGCGCGTACAGGAAGCTCGGTTGGCACTTGCCAACTTGCGACATTTGTGGCGTCGTTGCGACATCCGGCTGTCTGTGAAGGGTCGAGTGTATGCTGCAGCAGTTCGGCCAGTTCTGCTTTACGGTACAGAGACTTGGTCATTACGGGAGCAGGATAAAGATAGACTGTCGGTGTTTGAACACCACTGTCTACGTAGCATTGCACGTGTCTGGTGGGGTAACCGGACTAGCAATGCTGAGGTTAGGCGTAGAGTTTTAGGCAGTCGCGGTCGTCCACTAGAGGAAGTGATCGACCTCCATAGATTACGCTGGTTGGGACATGTGCTACACATGTCACCAGGTAGGTTGCCACGGCGAGCGATGCTTGGCGAGGCAGGTAGTGGTTGGAAAAAAAATGAAGGGCGGTTGCGCTAAGACCGGGCATGAGGGTATGAAGACCCAGACTAGGAGACTGGCACACATATGTCCTGTTAGGCTCCCTGGCTGGGAACCCAGAGATCATGGTGGTTAGAGACACTGAGCGATATGGCTGGGTGTCGCAAACAGTGGCGCGCATGCATCTACTCATTATTCTTGTAACTTCAGTCTATGAAAATGTGCTACCATCCGCTTAAATATTCTAATGATCATTCTGCTGTTTTATCCAAATGGGCAATAAAAACCGGCGCACGAAAGTGCATGGTAAATGATTGTAAGAAGAGAACTGAACTGATCCATTGATAGTTGTCCAAAAGGTGTCCGTATTATACACACTAATTCAAGCGGACAGACCGACTCCATCGATGTAGTTACAGTTCTTTAGTGCAAACACATACAAAGCTTTTTCATAATGTTCTTTGGAAAAACGGTTCATCGGAGGCTTTCAACCACATAAGTGAGCCTCCAGGTAGAGGAACGCCAACATAGCAAATTTAACTGGAGGGGCTGACTGAACCAACGCGTTCAGTTATACAGGAACCGAAGCTTGATGAACTCACTTGTGTCGGATTACCCGTAGAGGACAATGAAACAGAGGATTTGGATGTCGGTTGTGCCTTGTCCAACGTACGAGGATGGTTGTCAGACACACTGTGGTTGACGGTTCGCGCATTTGGAACTTCTAAATGATCGGGCCTTTTGGTCGGGTTTTGAACGCGTGCGCGCAGGGCCCATGCATCCACCACATTGGATGAATCCTTGGAAGTTTTGGGTGAGGCAGTGTTCACGCGTGGGACTGTACGAGGGGAGGAGGAGGTAGAGGAATTCGCCGTGTGGTTGCCTGATTGACGCGAGCCGTCCTTGGACGAGTGGGTTCGGACAGAGCGGCTATCCAAAACGCTAGGAGCACCCGCAGGAACGTAACTGTTTGGACTGGGTAATGTGGTCGCCTCAAAATTCGGCTTCACACGAACAAGTCCCTGCGGAGCAGCCTTCAAGGGATCACTTTCACAAACGTCGGTTGATTGTTGAGCAACGAAGAATGTGTTAAACCACAGTCGACATAATTTCTATCACGGGGAAACAATAAAATACACGTCGAAAAAATCATCATCGTAAAGATAAGCACAGTGAAACGAACTTCACTTATCATTGCCAAACTTGTAATGAAAACAGTTAGTGAGAATACGCACGATGAACGGGGACTGGGCTTAATGTCAGGGAGGAAGAAAGAAAGTGAAACTCTGTGATCAACACACAGAGTACGCAATCTAACTGTGCATAAACACCTTTTCAAGCATTCTAACCTGAAAAAGGAATCCTAATGAGTGAATACAGTAACCGGGTGGTGCATTGTCGGGAAGCCATGCATGATAGGAAATTTTATACGGGTCGCCCCTACGGCAAAAAAGGGAGGCTTCTGCCTTTTATGTTGGTGCACGCGTTCTTTCTAAACACGAACCATTTTTCTGACGAAAAACACCCAGCAAACCATAGACTGCTATCAGCACATTATTTCGGTCACCTTTAGTAAGCTGATAAAGACTCGTCTTGTACAAACGCAAAATCAATTAGGCATATTTGCGTATGTGATCAACTGATTTGACCTGCTAGCTGCAACACACGCAGTTACAGATAGCGGAGATGATGAAATGAAGTTGACAGCCATCACATCGTTTCTGAAGTCGTGTGTTATAACACCATCGCTGCAGCCGAAAGCTATTTTTGACTAACATACAAGGGGCGGGTAAAAGTCTTGAGAATAAGGATGCAAATATAGTGTGATTAAAATGCAAGTAAGAAGCATGCGATGAATGTAAGACACGAGACTGACCTTCACAGTACAATTATACGAATTCTGGTGAGTATGCCTACAGAAATCAAATAAACTAAGAGGACATGTGAAGAGCAACGGCATTCAAGGGGAAGAGAAAGTATCGATCCGCTAAAACAATCAAGGGAGGCGTAAAAAGAAAACGACATACTTTCGTCAGCATATGGTGACGCACGATGACTTTGACGCAAACATCCCCGGCAAGTACAGGTAATGAAGTACGATCAACCGGAATCCAAATCTCATCTTCTGTGAGCGGAGCCGAGGACAGCGTGGAAAGAGTAACTAGCGGGTCCGAACGGAGACCACATGCAGGCGATGGTGAGCGTACTTTACCCCAGCTTTGTGATCGGCTCAAAGGTGATAATAGGGAACCGCCGGGATCGACCGATGGTGTTGGACTGGTGTCCTGCAAAGAGGATGAGAACAGTTTATCGGCCGGTGATAGGTTTCCCGAATTCACTGTGAGGAAATTTCCGTTCTGGGATCGATTTGAGGTGGGTATCGAGATAGGGTTGGAAGAATTTGTGCTAGGCGGTACCGGTGTTGCATTTACATCGATCGGATGATTGGGGTCTGGTTGGGGCTCGTCGGTTCTTGAGGGAGTAGACCCGGAGAGGTAGGAGCGGAATTT